ACTGGAGTTTGATGACTGTGGAAGAGGGAATGAGGCTGAGGACTTTGTGCAACACTGCCTCACTTAAATCCAACTCACCTTCGAGTCAAGACATCGCCCCACAATGTCACTGGTCCTCTTCTAAAACAACGGATGAACAATAATGTAGTTTCAAGTATCCATTAAAAGTAATGATTCAATAAATTGAATAATAATATCTTAGTTTCTCTAGGAAGGATCTCCTAGGCCAGTCTTCTACTCAGTATAGGAGTCCTTTATTAACTTCTTTCCTACATGGTCTTGGACTCTCTGTGTTTCAATTCTTACCATGACACTTATTTACTGATTATAGTCGCCCAGTCATTTTCGGTTATGTCTGACTCTTCATGACCCCATTTGGAATTTTCTTGGCAATGATGCTGGAGTGGTTTGCCGTTTCCATCTCTAGCTCATTTTGCAGATGAGGAAACTGACGCAAACAGGGTGAAGTGACGTGTCTAGCATCACATGTCATCAGAGGTAAGATGTGAACTCAGGAAGATGAGTCTTCCTACTCCAAGCCTGACACTCTATCCACTAGCTACCCCTGTTTACGGATAAGCATTGTTACGTAATTAGTATGAAACTGAAGCATCTAATATTGGATGTCTCGTAGGCATCTCATAGACATCATAGGCATTTGGATGTCCATATGTCCAAAACAGAACTCATCATCTTTGCCCTAAAACCCAGCCCTTCTAAATTTACCTGTTTCTGTTGAGAACACCACCATCCTCACAATCACCTAGGTTTGCAACTTTGTTGTCAATCTGACTTGTCACTCACCCACATATACAATCAGTGCCTAATCTTGTCATTTCTATCTCCTCGACTTTTTTTGATTACTGTTTCCTTCTGTCCACTCGCTGCCCACTGTCTTAGTTCAGACCCTTCTTCCTGGCTGTAGCAGTGGTCTCCTAATTGGTATCCCTATTCATGTCTTTCCACATTCCAATTCATTCTCCTACAGGTGCCAAAATTATTTTCTCAAAGCACAGGTCTGACTATGTCAGTCTCATGCTAAATAAACTTCAACGGCTCCCTGTTATCAAATATAAACTCCTCTGTTTGGCATTTGCAACCTGGCCCCAACATGCGTTTTTAGCCTTACTGCTTATATTCTTCTTCACAGTGTTAAATTGTCCTCCTTATTGTTCCTCTTAAATGGCAGGTCATCTCCTTTCTTCATGCTTTTGCATTGTCTGTTTCCTGCCTGTGAAATTCACTCTCTCCTCATTGACACATTAGAATTCCTAGCTTTCTTCAAAGCTCAGCTCAAGTACCACTTTCTAAAGAAAGCCTTTCCTGATCCCCTCAGCTACTTCCTAAAATTAGCTCATGTCTATTTTGTGTGAATATGTGTTTGTATGTGTGTATATACACATACATATTTGTATATATGTATGTTTATGTACCCCCAGTGCCTAACCCCATCCTGCATATTTGTAGGAGCTTTGTTTAATTGAATTCTATGGACATAGATCAACCTCATTCATACATGTTCAAATATACATTTTGTTGACTATTGCTGATGTTTGGAAATAAAATCAAAATAATGTTTTATATCTTCCATTTGACTTTTTATCTTTATTTTAAATAGACATAACACACAGTTTTAGCTTATCTCTTATTTCTAAGATAATCGTTTCCTTTTTCCTTTTCATTTTCCTGCCTGCCTTTTTCTTGTGATATTAATGTAAGTCCTCCCTTTGTCCTCTTGACTTAAAACACTTCCTCAAGGTTTCTAGTACATATTTCTCTCTAGTATCCGATGTCTTAGATAATCAAGAACCATTACATTTAAAATGTAGTTGGGTCATAGGGAAGAAAAGCTCTTAGTTTATTATCAAAGTTGACTGCTGGTATTAAATAATTTGGTATATCCAGAATAAGCAGATTGAACCAGAGCTGGAAGAGATCTTTGAGATCATCTAACTATGCTCTTATGGTTCTGTGTAACTAGTAAATGAAGCAATAAATTTCAGTTCTATCTAGTGTGCTCAATATAAAACAGTCTGGCTATTTGGATTCAGAAAGATAACCTAGCCTTGTACTCTTTACTCCTTTTAAAAATTAAATTCTGGGTTCATTGTTGACATTTGATATCCTTTTAAGTGGTGAGCACTTGGCCTGAGTGAATGGAATTTAGGAAAGCTTTTGTATGTTAATGTCATCACTGTAGATACTTTACAGTATTATTTTACTTTTCCCTTCCATGTAAGATTAAGGAAGAGTTCTAAAAATTTAAATAGTTGCCAGGTAGTATATTAGCAACTGATAAGTGTGTTCTAAATGACTTTGATAAGTGGTTTCAAGCTATTTTATATAATGTAATCATTAATACCACATAAACATTGATAAATTAGAAAGCAGTCTTTTCTCTAAAGTGATATTTCCCATTTTTTGTTTTGTTTTTATAGTCCTGCTTTCAGTGTATGGTATGGGATGCTTTAAAAAGGAACAAGGTTCATGACACTCCCCCTTCCCCCACCCCTCACAAAAAAGGCTGCTTTTGCTGAGAAGTTAAGTGTGTTTCCTGTCATTCCTTAAATGAAAAACAGGAAGCTAATACTGGAGAAGAATTTGGAACCCTGAATTGTTTTGCTTTTATAGTCATGCCCACTTAGCATTAATATGATAGGAATTTTAAATTGGCATAAAGTATCTTAATAAATTCATACTTCTATCTTTTCACTAAATGATGTGACAAATATTTGGTTAGAAACTTAAATTTAGGAAGGTCTTGATATTTACTATGTTTCATATTTGTACACATGATGAATGGTTTGTTCAAGGCTATATAATCATGATATATGTCTTGACCAGTTAAATAGAACAGATTGTTATTTTGGGCTTAAGCCTACAGACTTAATATTCAAGCACATCTTTCAAATATTTTGGTAACTTGAAAAAATAAGCTACTTTTTTGCTTTAATTTTGGAGATTCAGACTTGGTTCTGTTCCTTCACTGCCTTTCAAGAGATATGGTGTTATGCTGGTTCCTTTCAGTGGTAGAAAATTTTTATATATTCTAGACTTATTATATTTAACAATACTTTAAAGTGAAAAAAAGCCTAGAATTATTTTTCTTACTGTTTTTCTGCATATCAGTAATAATTCATGTCATTCTTGATTTGAAAATCATACTTTTTTGGTTAATGGAGTATTGTTTAGTTAGGTAGTGTTTGAAAGGCAACAAGGCATAGTACATCTTAACTTGGAGTCTGTGAACTTGATTTTTTAAAAATTTTGATAACTAAATATAATAGGTTTCCTTTTTAATTCTATTTAAAAGCATTTTTCTGAGAAAGGGTCCGTAGACTTCATAAGACTGCCAAAGGGATTCATGATTCAAAGCAATAACTTTTAGAATAGCAGGTTGGCTTTAGAACTGGAAAAACCTGGGTTCCCTGTCAATAGATCTGACCAATTCTCTGTATTAGGAGTTGTTTATAACCATTTTGTGTAATGTGGACTCCTCAGAATATAATGTTGTAAATAATTAAAGGACATGCTGAATTTCAGTTAGAGGTTAATAGAAATAAAGATGCACTTTTTTTTTCTTCAAGTTTATCTTCTCCAAGTTTCTGGAACCTCTGAAATGGACATCAAATTAAGAACTCCTGCTCTAGACTGTAGGCTGCTTATGAGCTATAAAGCTACACCTGTAGAAGGAGTTTCCATGAAAATTCCTTCACAGGGTAATAAAGCCATCGATCAGGATAAGAAACAAGTGTTCAGAGTATAAGATCCAGTTATTTTAACATTTTATAGCTTATTAAATGCATTCACAGTAATTAATCTTGTTTTAGAATGTTTACATAAGAGCATATTACTTTTTAAAGTACAGATTGTACAACATGTTTATAAAATCCTATTTATTGATAGCTTCAAAGAAGCAAAGATGGGTTTTCTTGGGCAAAAATTTAGCATCCATGGGCAAAAATTTTACCACCTAAGTTTTGATAAGTTGATAACTTTTTTAAAAATAAATTTTATTGCAACCTTTTGTTTTTATATAAACTATATTTCTCAATGTAGCCTTCCATTTCCTCCCTCCTAGAGAGTCATCTCTTATGGGGATAGCCATCCCTTATAACAAAAAATAAAACAAGGGAAAGAAACCCATTACAGCAAAATTAACTAACGTGATGAAAAAGTCTTGTATTGCACATCTAAAGCCTCTGATCTCTCCAGAGAAAGTTCCTCTTTGGGGCCAAGCTTCATCATTGTGATTTTACAGCATTTAGTTTCTATTTTATTGTTATTTCTGTAGTGATCATTTATATTATTTTCTTCGTTCTGCTTACTTCACGTTGCATCAGTCTATATAATTCTTCCCAAACTTCTCTGTATTCATCATATTCATCATTTCTTAATAGCACAGTAATGTTATATTACATTTGTATACAACAACTTGTTTAACCATTTCCACAGTTGATGAGCATGTACTTTATTTCTAGTTATTTATTACTACAAAAAAGTGCTATTATAAATATTTTGATCAACATGAGATCTTTCTTTTTATCACTGACTTCCTTGGAGTATGTTTCTAGTAGTGGGTCAGTTCTAGACATTTTAGTCACTTTATCCACATAATTCCAAATTGCTTCCCCAAATTGTTGGACCAGTTTACAGCTCCACCAACAGTGCATTAATATACCCATTTTTGCACAACCTCCGTAACACTTTGTGTGGGGGGGGGGGGTGTGGAGAGAGAGAGAGAACTTCAAAGTTCTTCTGATTTGCCTTTTTTTTTTTTAATTGGTGATTTGGAACTGCCTTTCATACAGTTGCTAATGGTTTACACTTCTTTTGAAGACCTCATCAGGATGGTATCTTTTAAAAGGCTGGTTTTTTAAAGGTGAAATTAATGATTAGCAAATGTGAAGATATAGTTCAGAAAAATAATAGAGAACTTTATTAAGGTGATAGGAAAAAAGTATTTTTACTCTATAATTTATAAAATTTATCTCTTTCAGACAGCAAATGGCTACATCTTATTTTTTCATATTGCATCAGCAAGAGGAGAAAAGTACCTTTATGAGCCTGTATATCCCAAGTAAGCTTTTATTTTTTATTCTTTATTTATATATTATACCCTTGAAAAAATATTACTGTTTTGTGAATTTAAAAGTAGGTGGGCTGTCTTGAATATATATTAGATCCCTTTGCCAAGAGACCATCCAAATTATATTGTTAGTTCTGTCATTTGTGTGTGTATGTGGAATGAAAGATAGGTTAAAATAAGTTACCTATTAACTGAGTCTTGGAAATATTTTAAATAGTACAGAGATTGTTGTTGTTATGATATACCTTGTGCTTTTATTTTTTTTTTTCCCAATAAAGTTTAGACAAAAGCTTATTGGAATATAAATGACTATTGAATTAAGAGAGAATAGAATACTCTGTAATATTTATGGGAAATCAGTGTGCTAATTATACATTTTTATTTAATTTTACATATAATAACTCCAGATATTTTAGTAAGTTTTATTATTATTGTCTTTTTTGGAAACTATAGTGACCAGAGTTGCTTAAATTTGAACTCCTTGTGAATCCTAATTGAAATTAATTGGCTCCTTAGTTATGTTTATCATAAAACTTGTATTTAATTTTTTATGATTACTACTATTCTGGTTTCTGGATGAGAGATTGGCAGACATTTGTTGCTCTTCATAGGAGGTGGGGTGTGAGGTGAGGGGTAGCTTGACTTAGAGGATAGAGAGGTATCCTGATTAGAGAACCCAGAAAGACCTGGATTCAGCTGCTACATAACCTTGGGCAAGTCACATGATCCTTCATTGCCCCCTCAAAAATTCTTTAAATATGTTAATTATATTTCAGTTGCATATTTACTTTGATAGTGGGAGTTTCCTCTTAGTAAGCTTCTTATATTTATGGAATCACTGGTCTGCCCTCTACTTTCCACATCCTACCCATCAGTATAATAAAACTCAGATATGTACAAGCTACATTATTTCAGACCTAGTTTACGTAGTGGAAATTGTGATGTCTAAAAAATACAGTTAAACTGTGCTTTCTGGCTTTTCTTATCATAGATTGTTTCTTATTTTGTAATCACTGGGGAATATTAGAAAATGCTTTATTTCAGTCACTAAACAATTTTTTTTTTTTTAGAAACTAATGGGAAAAATTGACTAAGCGTGGAAGGGGGTCATATTAAGAAAATTTCACTTGTAAGCTATACTTACTTGGATATGATGGTTATTGGTCTAGAACAGTTTGTTAATGTTAGCAAATTATCTCAATAGAGCCAAATCCTGTCACCTATTTTTCTATAGCCCAGGAGCTAAGAATGTTTTTTACATTTTTAAATACAATTAAATTTTAGTTTAAAATGTAAAAACCATGCTTTTAAAAGCAGTAACACTTTATTTTAAATATTGAAAGAAAAACTACTCTTAGCATGAGGACCATACAAAAAAAAGACAAAACAGACAGGTGGCAGGAATTTGGTCTGCAGTCTGAAGTTGTAGACCCGTGGTCTAGAACAAAGATTGTCAGTGAGTAGATAGTCATTGTTATATATGTTATGGAAAAAAATGAAGTAGAAGAGAAAATGAAGCAAAATGCTGAATTATAAAGGAACTTTTTATATAAAGATGTTGCGTATTTGTGCTGTAAGTTTTAATTTTATTGCTTTTATGATACAACCTTTTTCTGAAACTCCAGGCCAACCTGGTACCCCTTTTTATGGCTACCTGTAGAATGTGATATTGTTGTACATTCATTTCAGTCGTGTCTGACTCTTCATGACCCCATTTGGGGTTTTCCTGGCAAAGATACTAGAGTAGTTTGCCATTTCCTTCTCCAACTCATTTTACAGATGAGGAAACTCTGAGGCATAGGTTAAGTGACTTGTCCAGGGTCTCACAGCTAGTAAATATCTGAGGCCAGATATCAACTCAGGAAGATGAGTCTTCTGATTCCAGACTCAGCAATTTATCCACTGTGCCACTGTGCCATTTCCACTTGCTAATTGTAAGTGGAAATAATAAAGTTGTGAGTCAGAGTTGACATTGGACTCTGTCGTTGGTGTTGAAGTATGGAAGTTATAGGAGGTTCCATTAGGACACAATTTAGAGGAGAGTTTACTAATTCATTTTGACAAACATTTATCAAACAGCTTTGCCATACAAAGGCAGTGTAATAGACACTGGGAATACAAAGACAAAAAAATGAAACATTTCCTATTCTAACAGACTTTACATTTTACATGGGATACATCATGTGTACTGACAACTAACAAGATAGCTTGAGGAGGGAGAGCACTAACAACTGGGGGAAACAAGAAAGGATCAAAAATCCCATAGGAAGTGGTAGATGAGTGGACCTTTGAGACAAGTTAAAGGTTCTGAGAGACAGAGATGTCGGGCAGGCATGGTGAGCAGCCTGTGCAGAGACACAGAGATGGGGGCTAGAATATGAACTTCAGGGATAGTTACTTAAGGGTCCAGTAGTGAGATTTTTATAAGTCGAGTTCTCCCAGAATGGAAAGGACTGCATTTAAAAGAAGTGAGGTCACTGCTTTTGAGGTTATTAACAGTAGACTATTGCTAAGTGGAGGCTAGATGATTACTTGTCAAAGATGTTATAGAGGGTTTTTATGTTTTATTTAGGAGTTGGAAATAGGATTGTTGATGTCCTTCACAATTATATTCAACAAAAGGTGCCTTTTTGTTCATCCGATCCTAGATTTAGAGCTGAAAGGGAACTTAGAGGGCATTGAATCCAACCTTTACTTATTTTACAAATGAGGAAACTGAGACTGAGAGAAATTAATGACCTGGCCAAGATACATAGCTATTAAATATATGAGGAAAGATCAGAACTTAAGTCTTCCAGACCCTAGGTCCAATGCTCTTCTCCATCTCATTATTTATTATATGAATGAACATTATGCTCTTAGTCAACATGTATTAATAAATCATAGAACTTCAGAGCTAGAAGGAACCTGAGAGATTAAGTCTGACACCCTCATTTTATAGGTGAGAAAAATGAAGTTGAATGAGGTTGTGACTTCCTTGTAATCTGTTATACTTGGTTTAAAGCCCCTTGCCTTTATCAAAAGACCATCTATTCTAAATCAGGCTGAGTAAAATATGTATCTGCTCTGCTGGCAACAAAAAGAAGGAAAGTAATTTCAGCTGGGCTCTATGTCAGGGCTTAGGCGAGGAAGGAAACAAATTAATTGATTTGGGGCATGGACCTCTCAACTCTGTGACTCCTGTCTATTGCTTTGGGTCTTGTTGAGAAAAAAAAAAGACAAGGCAGAAAAAGGAAAAAAGAAAGAGAAATTAGAAGTAGCTTATGACTTTTTAAAATGAAAGGGACAGCATCAGTTGGGGAATGGCTTCACAAATTGTCATAGGTGAATGTAATAGACTATTATTACTGTGCCATAAGAAATGATAGCTATGAATATAGGGAAACATGGAAATAGATTACATGAACTGATACACAGTGAAGTAGGCAGAGCCATGAAAACAGCATACACAATGACGACAACAGTGTAAATGGGAAGAATATAATAATAAAAAAAAAAAACATAGAAACTAAATGCCACAAAAGTGTAATGACTCAGCTTGGCCCCAAAGAAGATGTATAAGAAGATACCTCCCCCTTACTCCTTCACAGGTGATGGAGAGACCGTGATACCTGGGTGTGGAATGTTACATATATTGTCAAGTTGTTTTGTTTTTTTTTAACATATCAATCAGGTTTTTTTTAAAATTATTTGTTTATATGAAATAGCTTTCTGGGAAAGGGAGAATAGTGGGGGACATTTAGTTTATATGAAAAATGAAAAAGAGTTTATACAAATTTACATTTCTTAAAATAGAGAGGTAGAATTAAAATATCTCACAAGGAATAGACAATTCCTCTTCCCCGACTCATGTATGGAACAGTTTTCTCTTGAGCCTCTTTTCTAAATCTTATGAGTACATCAGCTTCTTTTATTCTCTTAGTTTATCACATGCCCTATATTGTGTGACAGCACACTTCACCTTAGAAGTACATATCTTTTCCATGTTATATCACATCTGAGATAACAGGTCAGATGTCCATATTTACTAATAGTTTCCAACAAGATGTCATTTCAGATCTGCTTTTAGTTCAGCCTTGGGTGACTTACATTCTTTCCTTACTTCCCTTCTTCTCCCTCTCCCTAACTTTCTAAGTTTTATATTTCTTATGTGACTTTTTAAAAATCTTTTTAGACCACTGTTTATTAAACACATCTGATGAAAAGATAGAAAAACAATAGGATTTAAAGCTAGAAGGCTTTAGGATTCATCACTGAAGTGTCTTTTTCTATCAGAGTTTTTAACAATTATACTCCCTGAACATTTAGGATGTTGTTTTTTTTTTTTTAAAGGAGCTATGCTACAGATAATCCAGAAATAATTTCTATTTAGCTTTAGAATGTATTTTTGCATTATACTTGAATGTACTTCTCTTACCTTAGAATTTTCATTAAATATTTAGTCCCTTGACAACAAAACATTTGAACACAAGTTTTGTATAATAATTTCCGCATTTATATAATGTGTCAAGGTTTCAAAGCTCTTTTGTTACATCAGCCTTGTGAAGTAGCATAGGTAATATAAATAGCATCCCTGATTTATAGATGACAAAGTGGAAGAACAGAGAGGTAGATAGATAGACTTGCCTAGGGTTGCACAAGTTGTAAGTGTCAGAATCTGGACTTTAATTCTGATCTTTTGACTACAAGATTAATGTTCTTTATACTGTGCTGCCCATACTAATCTAAACTCAAGTCTCAGCCAGTAGCCTATAGTGACATTAGTTTACTGACCAAGTTATAAGAAAACATTTTATAGTTAATAATCAAATATTATTATGAGTTCTTATTCCTCATATCTGCTGTACATACTTTATACCAAAAAAAAAATACACAAAACACTTGGTTTAAATATCATTTGTAAGTATGTTGTAAGCCCTCTGTCCTTTTATGAGATGCTTCTCATTAGCTAATTTACTATAAAAGAGAAATAAATTTTGAAAAGAAAAGGA